GCACCGTTGGGGATTGTGACTTGGTCCGTCCCGGTTGTTGATTTTACTGCTTAATTGACTGAGACTTACTTGATGCTATCATGATTTGGGCTGATTGCCATGTGTTGGGCTTCGTGCCGATTATTTGAATCCTTCGGGGATTGGTATCACTGTTTTTGCATTACTTTGCATATCATTTGATCTCGGTCCAGGGTTTTGATACGATTTTGCAAACTCAGCCATTTTTCCAAGATTTGAAAGCTTAAACAATATTTTTATTGATGTTTTTGAGCTAAGAACCATTATTTTAATATTGCTAAGTGGCTTATGTGCATTTCTGGACTGAGCAGGGATCGGGCTGCGCGCTGCAGCAGTGACTTAAAACAGTGGTAACAATGACACTGTATGAAGTGACTTGAAACAGTGGTAACAATGACACTGTATGATGTGACTTGAAACAGAGGTAACAATGACACTGTATGATGTGACTTGAAACAGTGGTAACAATGACACTGTATGATGTAAATTGGTCAGGTAACAATGACTGACCGGTCAGGTAACAATGACTGACCAGGAATGTGATTGACGCCACGAGATGGCTTGATATTGCGCTTGGCTGTAGGAGCCCCTCCGGAGTCTGTACACACCCCCAGTGAGCACCGTCGACGTTAAATACATGGTTGGCTCGGACTGCACGCCGCAGTGGGTACCTGAGTGTACCGGTCATATGCATTGCTTTGCATTCATGCATTGGTTCCTGTTTGTACTACGTGTCATGACATTTAGCACTCTCATATCATTGGCATCCATGCTATTGCTTGTACTGTTTACCAGACGCCCTGGTGTTAACTATTTGTGGAGTGCTGTGCCCGAGGGGCTGTCGTATGTGCGGACTTGCACTATCTGATTTCGCATTCATTTGCTCGATTGTTGGAAAAAGATGTTTTCAAAAGAGGTTTTAAACTGAGTCAGATATTTTCTAAAGGATTTTCACGGTTTCATTGTTTTTCTGAGAGAGTTGTACTGTCCTATATAGCGTGATGGAGTGCTCTTACGTGATTTCTTGCCTCTCAGTTATTATTTACTCTTATTACCACTGAGTTGGAAGTACTCACTTTACTCCCTGCACCTCGCGTGCAGCTGCAGGTATGGTTACCCGGTAGCGGGTTATTAGCTGATTGAAGGTAGGGCTATTGTAGCTGAGCAAGGTGACCGCCAGCGTTCGCGGCACCGGATGTTGTCTTTTGATTTTCCAGAATTTTTCTTTATATATTATTATTGGCCCTATAGTTGTGTTCAGGTTTCTTTAGATGCTCGTGACTTGTGACACCCCGGTCGGGTAGAAATTAACAAATTTTAAATGCCATTAAGTTGTATCTTCTATTTATTTACGTTTGATAATTATTAATGAAAGGATTTGGGTTAGTTGGCTGGCCTTGTCTTCACGAGAGGCGCCATCACGACCAGGTTGGGAATTGGATCGTGACACACCAGGTATGCAATAGAAAGAGGTTGTGAGCTCGAGAAGATTACAAATGATAAAAACAGAGTTAGGGTAAAATGCAAAACTAGTGGATGCCCTTGGTTGTTGTTTGCAAGCAGAGAGCCCAAATCTGTTGATTTCATTATCAAAACTTATAATCCTAGGCATAACTGCAACAAGACCAACACAAATTCAATATGCAATACCAAGTATCTTGCAAAGTACTATAAAAGTAGGATAATTTCACAGCCGTGCATAAAGGGTTGGGAGATGCAAGATTTGGCAAGGGAGGATTTGGGTTTATATGTTGGAAAAAAGTTTGTTTGAAGGCTAGGAAACAAGTATTGAAAAAAGTGATGGGTGATCATGTGAAGGAGTTTGGCAGGATTTATGATTATAGAGATGTGCTCCTTCAATCAAATTTAGGGAGTACATGTGTGGTAAAAGTGACAGATTCTGAAGATGGGAAAAAATTATTTCACTCCTTCTACATTTGCTTTGCAGCAATGAAAAGGGGATTTATTGAAGGGTGTAGAAAATGCATTGGGTTAGATGGTTGTTTCTTGAAGGGAATATCTAAGGGACAACTACTTGTTGCTATTGCAAAGGATGGGAACAACCAAATATTTCCAATAGCATGGGCTGTAGTTGGGACTGAAAGTAAAGACACATGGTATTGGTTTATAAGGAAATTGAAGTCTGATTTGGAGATCAATGATGAAGGAGCAGAATTAACAATCATTAGTGATATGCAAAAGGTACTATCTTATTTAAACTAACAAGATATTTATTTTTAAGCTAACAATATCTTTTTTTAGACTAACAGTGTCTTATTTTGCAGGGTTTATATTCAGCAGTTGAAGAATATCTTCCTGAAGGTGAGCATAGAATGTGTGCAAGACATATTCTAGCTAATTGGCAACAAAAATGGAAGGGTATTGACAGAAGAAATGGGTTTTGGAGTTGTGCAAGATCAACTTATGAAGCTGAACTTAAAGCAAACTTGGACAAGTTAAGTAAGCTAGGTCACAAGATCTGTGAAGACTTGGTAAACTACAATCCTGAGAAATAGAGCAAAGCAATGTTCAGAACTTCTTCCAAGTGTGACAGTGTGGATAATAACATGGCTGAAAGCTTCAATGCTTGGGTTTTGGGTCCTAGGCACAAGACAATTATTAGCATGCTTGAAGAAATTAGGATAAAGGTAATGAATAGGTTCACTAGAGTAGGGGCATTTGCAGATACTTGGAATGAAGGCATATCACCAATGGCAATGATGGTATTGGTTACAAATGTGGAGAAGTCTATGAGATGCACAATACACTGGAATGGTGATTTTGGGTATGAAGTTAAGGGGGCTACAGGGATTAAACACATTGTCAAGTTGACTGAGGGAGTGTCTAGTTGCAGAGCTTGGCAACTAAAAGAAATACCTTGTGCACATGGTGTGGCTGCAATTCATCACAAGAGACAATCCACTTGACTTCATTTCTGAGTGGTACAAGAAGGAGACCTACCTAAAAGCTTATTCTCATTTCATACAGCCAGTACCATGCATGGAGATGTGGCCTGAGTCAACAAATGCAAAGGTTGAACCACCTCCTGTTAGAACAATGCCTGGAAGGCCCACAAAAAAAAAGGAGGCTGGGGAGATAAAATGCAGTGGCAAGCTTACAAAGAGAGGAATATCAATGACTTGCTCAATTTGTAAGTCCATAGCTCATAATAGAAGAAGATGTCCAAATAAACCTCAAAGCACTTCAGAGGTGCTTTCTGTTATTTTCTGTTATTGTTACATTCTGTTGGTTGTTAGTAATTGATTGTTAGTTACTTCTGTTAATGAATCTTTTCTTTGTTCATTTGTTTGAACCAATGAAGCCTACCAGAAAAAAAGAATAAGTACTATAAGAGACAAATTACAAGATAGAAGATCTATATACTACATAAATTTCAAATGAGAATATAAAAACAAATGTATGTACAAGCTAGTTAGTTACACTTACAGTGGAGAAAGAAGAAGACAAGAAGAGAAACCTTTAGCTTGACACTTCTGTCCATATTTCACCTTCTTGTCTGTGGGTGTAGGCTATCGGTCTCTTCTGTCCATAGCTTACCGCTGTTGATTTTGTTTTTTTAAATTCAAGTTTTTTAATTTCGGTGTAGAATATTAATTTGAGTAACTTATTTAGCAAAGAGACAAAGACAAAGTAACTTACTGTTTTGCTGTTGGTGTTTCTGTCAGCTGTTAGGGACTGCTGTTTGGGATTACTTTCTGTTACAATGCTGTTTGGGACTGCTGAATTTATAGCATTGTATTAGCTGTTATTTTGGGACTGTTATGAATGTTAGTTGTTAGTTTCTGTTGAATGTTATAAAGCTGTTATATCATTGTATTGAATGTTAGTTTGGGACTGTTATGTATCAGTTAGTTGTTAGCTTAAGTTAGCTATTAGTTTGGGACTCTTACTTTTAATTGGGACTGTTGTGTATCAGTTAATTCAGATAGTTGCATCAGTTGTTTCTCTTAGTTGATATTAGATTGTATCAACAACATTACTTATTAGATTGGTATTAGCTGACTGGGATTGTTTCTATTTATGCAAAGGGAGTGGCCCACTCACAAAAATCAACCTCTAAAAAGAGATCAAAGGCTGACTCCAAAGCATCTACTAGTAAGAAGAATGCTAAAGCTAAAGGTGGTAAAGGAAGAAGCAATAGCAACATGGTGCAGAACTCACAAAACTCAAATGTGCAACAATCTCAAGTTTCAGATGTCCAGTATTCTCAGGTTTCAGATGTGCAACAATCTCAAGCAAACAACAGAGATGCTCTTACTGCATTTAAGAGGCCAAGAGTAGTGGGACATGGAGTATTTGTCAGCAAAAGTGGCTATACATGTGTTGAGGTAATTAGCATTTTGGTTGCTAGTTTTGAGGTTACAAGTTAAACTCTATTGTTTGATATCTGTTTTTTTTAAACCTAATTTTCAGCAAGGGAGGCCTGTTAGTAGGGTAATCGACAGTGGAAGGAACAATGGAGCGGTTGAAAGTTCAGCTGTAGTGACTGGTGATCTTGGTTATAAACCAAGTAAAGGCTTGAAATGAAAAGGAAAACAAGCAATCACAACTAGACAACTTCAACATAGAAGTGCTTTACTACAGTATTTAAGGACAAAATCACCAAAAGCTAATGAAAAAACTGGAGGTGTTTGAGCTTCAACACTACTCTATTGGGAACTGTTGTATGCGATACTATGATTGTGTTTTGGATAATATTTTTGTGGTGCAAGTTATGATGTAAACTATTAAAACTTGTTTTACTTAAATGCACCTTATGGGATGTAATGTAAAACTAGTCAATTGTAGACCTTTTGAGCTCTAATATAATGTGTTATTTCTAGCTTTCCTTGTATTTTTAATTATGTGAAAAGATCAAACATATAGCAATGACAGTACACTTTGTAGCATTTGAAACAAAAGCAACAACCAAGTTTCAGATTACACTTCCTAGCATTTGAAACAAAAGCAACAACCAAGTTTCAGATTACACAATACTTCCTAGCATATGAATAACCAAAAATACACATTGAAACATATACTAATAATAAGCAACATCTTAAATTTTTCTTCTTCTTCAATTCAGCCTCAAGTTCCATTTTATCCTTCTGTAAGCCAAGAATTATCACCTTTGATTGGCCAGGAAATTCCGGATCATACCACTGGAAGAATCCACAAGCCACAAGATCCTTAGCCTGAAAATTTTAACCAAACCATTATAAATAAAAGAAAAATTTAGCCATATTATATCACATAAAATATGATGACTTGAAAGATGATTACCCATAGTACTTGCATCCAAAAAAACGTCTTCCTGGGTTAGCATTTGTCGTTGATGTTCTCAAAGAAGCAGGCTGCCCACAACCACAAAATATATTAAACCTCATGACTCTTCTACAATGGGTATTCTTCTTTCAAATTAATTTGGGTAACAATGAAGGATGGATAAAATGAGAAAGATAAAAAATAAACTCAATAAACAGAGAGAGAATTTAAAATGGATTAAGATGAAGAGAGAGATAAAAAGCGTGAAGAAATGTGAAGAAATGGTGAAGTAAGGTGAATAAATGGTGAAGAAAGGTGGAGAAGATGGTGTTATATAAAGAAAAATGGGATAAAATATAAGTTTTTTAAATAAATGGGCTAATTAGCCGTTATTCAAACTGTCAGGTAGGCCCCTTTTCATGCTGATTTTCACCTTTCACGCGCTCTTGCGCAACTGATTTCACACAATATGCCATATAAGCGACGGGGGAATTTTATTATGAAGCGGGATATAGTTCAGGGGGTTTTCAGGGACACTCGATAGTTTAGGTAGTAAACTAACAAAAATCGTATAGTTTAGGCAGGTTTGAGGGTATTAACTCTCTATTTATTTTACCTACCTACACATTGTATTTTTCCTGCGATGAGGTGTCATTTGACACCCCTTCATGTAAGGTGGCTCTACCACTGGACACCAGGTCTTGGCACACACTAGTAGACTTATGATTTTGGGTTGTATTCCCATAGTTATGTTTTCATTTAGCTGCTTTCGTTTGATCGCTTTAAAAATCCATTATTCAGTAAATTCTTGAAATTTAAGGAGAGTTAGCTGTTTGAAAAACTTAATAAATATGGAACACTATATTGTTCACTGTTGGCTTGCCTAGCAACGGTGTTGTGCGCCATCACGGCCTAAACTAGAATTGGGTCGTGACAATAACCTTTGGGCAAAAGCCACCCTTGTTTGTAGTTAGGCAACACTTTTCGGATGTGGTTAAAGGCCTAAAATGTTGTAATGAATTTTAAATAATTCTTTTTGTCTTTAATTTAGCTTTTGACATTAGTTTTTGACAATATGGAAGCTATATAGAAGTACTTATATTAATGAGATATAATTATTGTATTTCTGTTTACTGTATAAACGGTTATCAAGTTGGTGGCTCAAGTTGCCAAAATTTTGTTGACTTCAGAAGTTCGCTAGTGGAATTTAGTAGGCGTTTGGACATAAAAAATGTCAGATCAGGAAAAAAAAATTGAACTTAAGTTGAGAAAAATATTTAAAAATTAAAACTGTATTTGAATATGCATTTTACTATATTGCAGTTTTGTGACAGAAATTATTGTTGCTTTGAAACTCATCTTCAAACATTTAAATTCTAATGTATGACCCAACAATATTAAAAATGACTTTTTTTCGGAAAAGAAATATTCTTATGGACAAACGAGTCCTTAAAATCTTCGTTATCGGCCTCTAGAACTATTTGGAGTTATACGTTAGTAGGGGTGTTCACGGTTTGACGGAAAACCGATCCAAACCGAAAATCGAACCAAACCGATTAAGTAAACCGATATTTTTTTTGATTTGGATTGGTTTTGGTTTTAAATTTTAAAAACCGATAATATTTGGTTTGGTTTTGGTTCTATTTTAAAAAATCGAAAAATAAACCGAACCAAACCGATTAATTATATATAAAATTTAATAATTATTTATATACAATATAATATCTTTTTGTTAATAATTTTAATTGTTATTTTGAATTTTGGTTTATCCTGTTATATCTTATAAGATTGTCTAAGCCCAAAACAATAGGATTCGACCAATTTTCTTTTCATTAATAGACTCTAATTCTCTAACCCTCCGCACATACTTTTGCCTAAAAGAAGAGTTAAAAAAAAATCACCGCAAGAGTAAAGAAAGCACATTCAAATTGCAAGACAACAATGGCTAAAGCTTGAGAAAGCAAACTTTTAGTTTGTTTTTTATTCATTCTTTTCATATAAACATGTAAATGAACTTTCAGTTCTCAAAGAAATATATAAAAAGCATAAATTTGGCCAATTATTTTCAGATTGTTGTCTAGCGTTGTTTTAATATTATCGACTTATTATTAGCTTACTAAGAACCGAAAAACCGAACCAAACCGAACCAAACCAACAACAATCAAACCGATGGTTTGTATTTAATTTGGTTTGGTTTTGGTTTTAAAATTTTAAAAACCGATTAAATTGGTTTGGTTTTGGTTTTAATCAAAAACCGACCAAACCGAACCGTGAACACCCCTATATGTTAGTTTCAAATTTTCGTGGGAATTAACTTCAATTCATTTTTCCGTGGCTCTCTTGTCAATCTCATTCTCTCTTCCCCTACTTCGAGTAGCCTTGTGCCCTTATGATTTGTATCTCTCTTCCTCGTTGTCTCAACCGTTTCAAAGAGTGATATGTCGTAAATCCTGAAGACTAATCTACTCGAGAAAGAGAGAAGGTATACAACTACTAGCACGACGATGTGGATCGAATAACAACAGATCCATACTCGTTAGCGCTGGGCATATATTGGGTAAAACCGATAAATCAAACCATTAATTATTTATTGGGTTATCAGTATCTGATTATTGGGTTAACGGTTCGGTAACGGTTTAATATTTTATCACTATTGGGTTATCGGTTTGGGCCTTGGTTTGCCAATTTTGTTAGTGGGTTAATCGATAACTGTAACGACCCGACCGGTCGTTTTGAGCTCTAGCGCATTGTTCAGCAGTCTGAGGCCATGAACAGCTTCATTTCAGGTATTTTTGAGTTGTATACGCCGGGTGGCACTTATATACCGTTTTCTTCTAGTTCTGCTTAATTTAATTAAATGTTTCCGCAAGTTATATGAATTTCCGCACTGTTAGGCTTACCTAGTTGTAGGAACTAGGTGCCATCACGACATGTTCATGGAGGGTGAACTGGGGTCGTGTCAAGTTGGATCAGAGCTCTAGGTTCATAGGAGTCACGGAACACAGGCCGGTTTATTAGAGTCTCGCGGATCGGTACGGAGATATCTGTACTTATCTACGAGAGGCTGTGTAACCGTTAGGAAAATTTCACTTCATTTGATTCCCTGTCGTGCGAGATTTTTGACATCACAATCCTAAACTTCTGCCTTCTATTCTCTCACAAATGGTGAGGACACGTGCTACTCGAGGAAGATGACCTTCGGAAGGGTGTAAAGTTAGCAGCAATTGTGGGTTCAAGTGCCACGAAGATAGATTTTATTTGAGGCAGCGGCTGAGCATCAAAGGATGAGGAAAGACATGTGGGAAGTGTCAGGCGGTGGCTAAAATTTCTAGGAGGCCGAGTATAAGAGGCCAAGGGCCGAGTAGTCGATTAAGGGGATGAGTTCCGCCAAAGTGGGAGAGTGGCGGAGTTACATATGGGCTTTGCAGTGGGGTGACCACGTACCTTAAGGAGAGTTTGGAGTGATTTGAGAATATTAGTGATTGGTGATTGGGGTCTACGGATTAAATGAGAAGTATGAGCTATTATGCGACAGGAGATTTGATATAATGGGAAGGAGCTTCTTGAATGAAGAAGGATACAACATAACTTTGGATTGGAAGAATATTGCCGAACATTTAATCGATGTCCACGAGGGGTGAATGGACTTGTGCAACTGGAGAGTGAGCTCGGACTCAGGATGGATTATTGATGTCGTGGTGATTGTACACCATGCAGTAGCGTTGGAAGATGCCGGGGAGTGATTTCTACAGGTGGGTTATTCCTGCGAGTCGGTTAGCGGTCGCGTGGTTGGCGAGGCTTGTGCGAAGAATTCTATTGGTTATATAGCGAAAGGATCGGTCGAGCGAATGTTATTAATGATTCAGAGTATAAAAAGGGGGTTTCTAAAGTAAGATATCGAGAATTTTGGTGGTTGGTTGCGCAAGATTATGTCAATAAGAGATTAAGAATCCTGGTGAACTCCAGAGTTGTGTAATAGTGGCTTCAAGCTAAGTGGGAGAGTCCCACCGCCTATGATTGGGTTGCATGGTTAACCACTTGCGAGGTTTTCAGGTTGTTAGCATATTTCTGGGTTATTCGGCTACGGGAAAAGAACATAAGTGGTAATTTGAGCAAAGGAATTGTTAAAGGGTGCTATGGTTGGCCTTATTGGCTCATGTTCAGACTTGGAGAAGGATTCGGGACTTATGCCTTGTATGGATGCGGGTTTCGAGGGGAGTGATTCCGCCGGGTGCCTCGTCGAGAGGATATTCATGTGTTATAAGATTCATGGAGTTGATTATATTCGGGACCAAGTCAGAGCGGGTGGCTCTCAGCAACGGTCCTAATGGATTCAAAGAGAGGTAAAGCATGGTGCCTAATGATTTCGAGCCTATAAGAACAGCTAAAAATCAAGCTTTTGCAGCATGCTTATGAGTGGAGACCCAGGATGTCCTGTGATGTTTTGACTTGCGGTGTAGCACTTGAGAGAAAGATGAGAAGGGACTTCGGACTCGTAGAAGGATTAGCAGAATGGGCATGTCAGTTGAGGGTGCGAATGAGCGCACAAGGAAGGTATGAAATGGTTCATGGGATTTGAGACAGCATGGTCTCGCGGTTCCAGGTCAGTCGGGGTGAGTGCGGATGGAGTGTGTTATGTGTTGAAAGGAGTTATTGTTATTATTAAGGCAATCGGGGTAAATCGAAGGCAGATATATTGGTTAACCATAGTTGAGTTGGCGTATTGGTGGTAGAGGTCAGTTCCTTCAGCGTGATCAAGTTATGCGTGTGATTTGTGGCGGTACGTGTGAGGCTTGTCGGTCGTCGAATTAATGTTGTTCAGAAGCATCTTCTGACATGGCCTGTTATGTGTAGGCGGATCCTGGAATGGCCATGGTGGCTTAGGCCACTACTTGGAGATTTGCATATTCTACAGTTATGAGAATTCACC